CGGGGCCGGCAGGGTCGCGCGGCCGGCGGTGACGTCACCGCGAGGTGGGCTCTGCGGGGCCGGTCCCACCTGAGCGGGGTCCGGACCGGGATGTCCCAGGATCCCTCCCCAAAATCCCCTCTGTCCTTGCCCTCTGGCACTGGGAAGCCATTCCCTGCGTCCTGTCTCTCCAGCCCTTGTTCCCGGTCCCTCTCCAGCTCTCCTGGAGCCCCTTCAGAATCACAGAATCAACCGAGTTGGAAAAGATCTCCGAGATCATCAAATCTGACCCTCGATCGAAAACCGCCGTGGTTACTAGACATGGCACTGAGTGTCACATCCAGTCTCATCTTAAAAACCTCCAGGGACGGTGAACCCACCCCCTTCCTGGGCAGCCCATTCCAATGTCTGGTTACTCTCTCTGTAGGCTCTGCAAGGGGCTCTGAGCTCTCCCTGGATCCTTCTCTCCTCCAGGTGAGCCTCCCCAGCTGTCCCAGCCTGGCTCCAGAGCAGAGGGGCTCCAGCCCTGGCAGCATCTCCGGGGCCTCCTCTGGACTGTCTCCAGCAGCTCCACGTCCTTGTGCTGCTGTTCCCCAGGGCTGGGGGCAGCTCTGCAGGGGGGGCTCAGCTGAGGGGGCAGAGGGGCAGGATCCTCCCAGCCCTGCTGCCCACGTTGGGCCATGTCCAGCCTGTCCCCCACCAGCTCCCCCAAGTCCTTCTCCCCAGGGCCGCTCTCGGTGTGTTCATCCCCGGCCTGGATCGATCGCAGGGTTGCTCGCACCGAAGCGCAGCACCTTAAACCCCACGGCATTCCCCCCACCGCTGCATCCCCGTCCCCTCCCTCGGGAATCAAATAAAGGGGAAAAAAAACAAACAAACAAAAAAAAACACCACCAAACCACCCCCCCACACAGCCGAGCCCCGCGGCCGCGCGGTGACGTCACGGGCCCCGCCGGGCCTGCGCGGTGCGCGGGGCTGGGGGCGGGCGGGGGGGGGGGGGGGGGGGGGGGGGGGGGGGGGGGGGGGTCCGGCGGCGCGCGCAGCCTCGGCAGCGCCTGCGAGGAGCGGTCGCGAGCCCGGCGGGGACCCGGGACAGACCCGGGACAGAGCAGGGACACCCGGGACAATCGGGGCAGAGCCGCGCCGCGCCGACAGCGCCAGCGCCAGCGCCGCGGGGGGATGAGGGCGGGCGCCGCCGCCGCCGCCGCCCCGTGAGGAGCCGCGGGCGCGGGGAGCGCGCGAGGCCGCCCCACCACAGGAAGCCATTTTGTGGGCCCCCTCCTCCTTCTCCTCCTCCTCCTCCTCCTGCCCTCGTCCTCTTCCTCCTCCTCCTCCTCGTTCTGCGCCGTCGCCGCCGCCCTCGGGAGCGGCCGGGCCCGGTGAAGGAGGCGGCGAGGAGGGGCGGCGGCGGCCGCCGCGCCCTCCCCCATGGCGAAGAAAACCTACGACCTGCTCTTCAAGCTGCTGCTCATCGGGGACTCGGGGGTCGGCAAGACCTGCGTCCTCTTCCGCTTCTCCGACGATGCCTTCAACACCACCTTCATCTCCACCATCGGTCAGTTCCTTCGCTCCCCTCCCCCCCCCCCCCGGGATCTGCAGAGCCCCCCGGTTCCCCCCCCCCCCCCCCCTCCCCGCCCGATGCTTGTGTGTCCCCCCCTCCCCAGGGACCTCCAGTGTCCCTCTCAGGGGCCCGCTGTGTCCCCCACAGACCCGCTCCTGTGTGTCCCCCCACACACACCTCATGTCATCTCCAGGGACCCCCTGTGTCCCCCTTCTGTCCCGCTCCTGTGTCCCTGCCAGGGGCCTTCTCTGTCGTTCCCAGGAATTCCGTGTACGCCCCAATCCCCGCTCCTGTCCCCCCTCCCCAGGACCCCGTTGTGTCAGCCCACAGGGACCCCGGGCGTCCCCCCCGAGCCCCGTTCCTGTGTCCCATCGGGGCCCCGCGCTCTTGTGTCACCCCCAAGGACCCCCCTGTGTCCCTTGCAGCCCCTCCTGTGTCCCCTCCCGGCCCTGGAGCCCCGGCAGGGCCCGGTGCCGCCCGACGCCGCCTCGCCCCCGCTGCAGGGCAGGGTGGGTTCTGTCCCTGCTCCCCTCCCTTCCCTCGCCCTGGCTGACCCCGAGCGACCCTCGCCGTCCCTCGGCCTTGGCAGCTCGTCCCCCCTCGCCCCGTGCCAGCCGCCGGAGCCCACCTGGCCCCTTCCATCAGCGCTAATCCCGTCCCCGAGGGCGGTGGGAGCCCCGGGCCTGCGTTTGCACCGCCACTGCTGTGATGTGGCTCAGGAACGATCGCGCTCGTGGGTGGGGTCTGTTTTCTCGCCCAACAAAGCTGTCCTTTCCCCCCCCACCACCTCGGCCGGGCTGGCTCCAGCCCTTTTCCTCGCCGTGCAGCTCCTGACCGAGGTAGAGCTGCTCTGACATCAGCGGGCAGGGATGTGTCTTCTCCTGGGCTCTCCTTTTCCCGTGTAATCTGTGCTGTGGGACAGGCCTGGGACCTGACATCCTCCCAGGTGTGTCCCAGCGTTTTGTTTGCCTTCCCTGAACGTCTTGTCTTGCAGATGAAGAGTTCAGGTCAGCAGCTTGTCACCTTCTCGGTGACTGGCTCTGGAAATTCAGGAGAATTCCTCTCCTTGCAGCACCCAGTAGTGTAACACGTATCTACCCACATCTGGATAAAAAAGAAAATTATTTTGGGTGGGGGGTTTGAATTGGATCTGGCTTTTGTGCTCGCTGTAAATCCCTGAAACGATGGGCAGTGCAGCTGCTCACTGAGGGCAGGAGAACGTGGCGTGTCAGAGTCAATCTCAGTGCTGGGTGTAAGTACACGCCTGGGGACTTCCTCATCACCCAAAAATTGCAGCTTGGACTATAACACATCAAAAGACTGTCTTAAGCAAGCCTTGGGTAATTTAAAGTGGGGAAAAGGGTATGTTTGGGACAATGAAGTGTCAAGAGTGTTCTTGCCTAAAAGCTTTTAAGGCCTCAGCTTGGGGTTTTGCTTCATTTTGTGTGTGACAGTAGGTAAATGCTGCCCCTTCCCAGGGCTCCCTTGGCTCTGGGGGCCGCAGGGATTTGCTGCCCTGCTGTATTCCAGCCCTGCTTGGCAGGTCCTGGCTGGGATCACATGGCGTTCCTCGCCTTCCCATCCCGCTCCCAAGGTTTATTTCGATTCCCGAGGTTAAAAATAGGCGACATCATAGCTGAGGAGTCAGCGGGCACGCGGAGGCTCCTGCTCCCCAGACCCTGTGCTCTTAGTGAGCCTGGAGTAATTAGTGCTTTAGTAATGAGTGTTGGTTGGTCTGACTGTGGGTTTGGGGCCTTCAAGAGCAGGATCACCGAGTTTAGGACGTGCAGATTTCGGAAGTGTTTCCCACCAGTCAGGCCACTTCTGACCAGTGGGTGTTTATTTCCAGAGTGCACAAACTGGAAGGCAGAGGTGTTTTATTCCCTGGGTTCTGGCCTGGCTGGCTGGTGGTGGTGTCTGTGAACATCCCTTGGTGTGTCAGAGTGTCAGACTTGTGGCCTTGTGGTGGAATTTGGCAGGTTTTGGGGTACACAGAGATTTTCTGTGTGATGCTCAAGTGCCCAAAGATGCCTTAAATGTGTTGTTTCCATGTTTTTTTGGGAAGTTGATGGGGGAACCTGGGGAGGAGTGTCCTGTGCAGGCAGTGTCAGTTGAAAGGGAGATTCCACAGTAGCACCTTGGAAAAAAGCAGCCTATCCATGAAGGAAAAACCTGGGATAAAATACCTGTCCACTGCATTGTTCTCCTCATTAACACAAAGCGATGGAATAATCTGGCTGAAAACACGATCCCAGATTCCCACTGGTAACTGCTGGTCCAGACTGCCCCAGGTTCTGCCCCACTGCAGCTGTGCCAATCCAGGAGCCTGGGAAGGTGCTTTCCCTGGTGGTCCCTGCAGTGGGAAATCCCAGCAGAGCAGCCACTGGGGCTGGTTTTGCAGCTGGAAGAGGGGAGTTTGAGGGAAAACCTCCAGTGGAGTCTTTGACCTGCAGCAAGGAGGAAATGCCGTTCCCAAAGCACTTGTGTACACAGAGGGTGACACTGGAGGTGACCAGCCCTTGGCTGAGCCTCTGCCTGTGTTTGGATAAACCCAACAGCCTGGCAGTGTGGCAGCTCTGACCCAGGGCTCGGTGTTCCACCAGGAACCTGGGATAGTCCAGCTGGTAACATGTGCTGGAGGCTTTGGTGGTGGCTGCAGCAGGGACTTCTCATGGACTCCTGGAATGGTTTGGGTGGGAAGGGACCTTAAAGCTCATCCAGTTCCAACCCTTGCCATGGGCTGGGACACCTTCCAGCATCCCAGGTTGCTCCAACCTGGCCTTGGACACTGCCAGGGATCCAGGGGCAGCCACAGCTTCTCTGCCCAACCTGTGCCAGGGCCTGCCCACCCTCACAGCCAGGAATCCCTTCCCAATATCCCACCTAGCCCTGCCCTCTGGCAGTGGGAAGCCATAGCCCCTTGTCTTGTCCCTCCATCCCTCGTCCAAAGTCCCTCTCCAGCTCTCCTGAGGCTGCTTCAGCTGCTGGAAGGTTCAGTCTTTGGTCTGTAGGGAAAAGAGGGATCTCAAGGAATGTTGAAACCAGCCCATGTCTGTGAAGGATGAGTGGGGAGGAGGGATTTAATTCCCTAAAACCAGAGGCCTGGCTGCTGTGTAAGGGAAGATATAAAATAATAAAGCATTTCTGGTTCACATTAGTAACTTCTATTCACATCACATCTCATCTTTACACCTTGATTAATCCGTGGTGGCCGTTGGGATATAATTTACTGTCCGTGGAGTTTGACATGCTCTGGCTTTGAGTCACTTCAATCTAACATCTCCTGCTAAAGCAGCAGTTTAAGCTTTTGGATGTGCTGAGGTGCCTGTGTGAGTGGTTTCACTGCCCCTGTCTCAGGCACTATAAATATTCCAGTGGCATTTCTGCAAGAAATCCCGTAGTCATCGCCAGCTCCCCGGAGGGGGCAGGGGCTGGGCCTGCACTGCTGCCTTGCTGTTCGCAGGTGGGAAGGGGCCAAATCACGACAGGCTTAGTCTGTCCCAAGCCATTCTGAGCTGTGAGAACTCCAGCAGTTTTCTGGTGCGAGAGGCATTTTTGTGGTGTCTGTTTTTGGGGATTGCTGTGGCTTCTGGGTCGTGCTCTGTGGATACTCCTGGCTGGGTCACGTGTTGGTGTAGCTGATGGCTTTAGTACCTTCCCTGCTGCCGCTCGTGCTACCAGCAGGTTTGCTGGATTTTTGATGCTGAAAATGTTACTCCAAGTGACTTCCTGTCGGTGTATTATCCTTGAGATCTGATTTTTTTTTTTGGTGATTTTTGTTGGCATTCAGCATGTCAAGGTGGTTTGAAGCGAGCCCGTGGAGGAGGAGCCGTGAGAGCTCTCTGCACCCTCTGGAGCTCCTCGGGGTGGGCAGGTGAAGCTCCAGCCTTTGGGACCTGGGGACAGGTAGGGAGGGGGAGGCTCCTCTGGCCAGTGTGGCTGCTCAAAAATTTGAATGCCAGAACTGGGCTCCACCGTATAATCACTGTTGTCTGACTAAGACAAATGCAAATTCAGATGAGTCACAAAAAATGTTTTCCCATGGAATCTGACTGGTAACAGCTCAGGAGAACAAAGGGTGTGTGAGCTTTGGGAGATCCCTCCCAGTGGTGGAGGTAAGAGCTTCCCTGGATCTTAACCCCTGCTGGAGGGGCAGTTGTGCTCTGTGTTCCTGGGCTTTGCTCACCTGGCTGCAACCCTGCAAATCCCAGGAGAAGCAGCAGTGGTTGTGAGGTTTGATCACCCACGTTTTATTCTGAACGCAGCCAGAGCTGTGCAAAACTCTGATTTTAAATGTGAGACTATAAGAAAACTGCTTTCTGGTGAAATGATTGGGGTTTTTTTAATTATTTCTTT